CGACCATCGTTAAGAATGGTTGATAATGAAGAGAATAAGGGTAATCCCTGATTTTCTGTATAAAGCGTAATTAGATTGGGGCTCGGAGAATTTTCATTTGATGATGAAATCAAGAAGATGAGCATAATCATTAGGTTAATAAATGACTACTTATATAGAGACAATAACTTCAAGAATACAAACATGGAGAAATTAAGCATTTTTGGAAGAAAATGATAACCATAAATTCTATAGGCAACTTGAATGAAAATTCTTTTGAAAGTATATGTGATAAACACATCATCCACCAACTTGAAAGAAAATTCCTTTGAAAGTTTCACTTGATTGAATATAATATATGTAAATTTATTTCATAATAATATAAATTTATAGATCCATTTTAAAAATATTAAATTATTCTACAATCATGTTTGCTTATATTCATTTAGTTGTGTATTACACTTTAGTTGTATATCTTCTAGATTGATTATTTTTATTCAATTGGATTGAACAATGTAGTGTTATAGATATTGAAACTCTCTCTCTCTCTCTCTCTCTCTCTCTCTCTTTATATATATATGTTAGCGGGGCAGCAGGGTGCAGGGGCAGGCGGGCAAGCTGCAGGGAAGGTCACCTGGTCGCGCGCGGCAGCGGACAGCAGGTCACGCACGTTTGGGCTCGATGCACATGGGCAGCCAGGGCAGGAGGGCATGCTGGTTTTTCCCGATCATGTCGGGTTTCCGGGTCAACCCAAACCCGACCCGGTTTTTCAAACGGGTCAGTTTTCCAGACTCAAACCCAACCTGCTTCGGGTTTGGGTCAACCCAAACCCGAAATTTTCGGGTCGGATTCAGGTCGGGTTTTTCAGATTGGGTCCAATATTGACAGGTCTACTTCTTGGAATTTTATTCAAATCGTCCTTGAACTAATTTTATTCGTGATGAACTTCAAATTAGTCGGAGATTAAAATATAAGATATTTTGGCTTAAAATAAAATTTTTGTCACCTTTCTCTAAAATAAAAAATCATAGATGTTTGACCAATTGAAAGGCATGTAAATAAAAATTTCATGTGAACATATTCCTTTTTGTTTTATATTTATCAAACTCTTCTTGTCAAATTTTATATTTAAATAAAAATATTAGTCTTTATCAACTTAACTTCACCCACTAATAACATACGATAGAAATTTTGGCTAATTGGCCATTTAATTCTGACAATAAAGCAAAAGCTGATTCTTCACTGCGTGCAAACTGACGTTGATCACATCCCCAATTAAGATTTATTATTATTATTATTTTTTTCGGTGCACTATTTTAATATGTAATAACTCTATTTTTTTGGGTGTACAATGTCTTTGTCTTTTGGAAGCTTAGAATTTCAAAATTTATAAATAATAAAGGACAAAGCTCTATTGCCTAATTTGGCTTTTGAATTATTGAGATTATTGAAGACATGATATCTCATAAGCAAACATTTGACTAAGCGTTTAAGGTTCATGATTTTTAATTCATTCGAGCCAAATATGAGCGTAATCATAGCAAAACAGATCGAATACGGATAAGATATTCACAAATAATTTCAAACATGAGATTATATCGAGTAAATATTAAAAAAAATATCGAGTAAATATAAATTCAAGTGAGTTAGATATGAATAAACATCTGGCTTGCCCAAACTCAACCCGTTTAGACTCGTACAAATAGTACTAAAAATAAAAGCAAGAAGAGATTAGAGCTGTGGTTGAATACAATAAATAAAATCAATGAGCATCTTTATAAAACAATATGTTTTCTTGGCTTTCGTTAAAACTACTCATGAGTATGTGCTAGTTCTAGGTCTACTTAGGTACAACAAATAATATCATTTATGAGTCTAATTGAACTAATTAATCGTTTCAAATTCAAGTCAAGTGATTTCAATGGATGAGCCAAAGGTGGATTATAATTGAACTAATTTTGTGTTCCTCCCTTGTGACATCTCCATTTATCTCACACAACAGCTCACAAGTGAAGATATTAATGCCATGGGTCCAAGCAGTGTGTAATAGCTTGTATTTTGATTCTATCAAATAATTTTTTTGGTGTAAATATAAGTTCAAATCATAAACCGTCTTTGCCATAACATTATTATTGTTGTATTTACTTACAGGATTTTTTTTTGTAATTTTTGGGCAGAGGATCAGGAGTGTGAGGATGGTCAGGATTCCTTTATGTTCATGTTCTTTTGTTTTAGCTATTCTTTTATACTCATGACATGATAGATATATGATGACTTTATAGATCCTGAGTATTATATATTATTTATGGGAATAAATACAAATTTATATATTAATATTTTGAATTATAAAATTTATTTCCACTGTTTATTACTGATAAATGATATTTGGTATCTCTTATTATTTTTTATTAAAGTATAAAAATAATAAGTTCTTCCAAATTAGATTTTAGGGCATCACAATTGGTATCGGTGCAAAGTTGTTGGAAGAATTAAATTATTACAAGAGCCGTAGGACTTGATTGAGAGTTGGGTATAATAGGTAGTTTAAGATGCATTATTTTCTATGTATATTTGATTGCATGTGTGTATTCTTCAGACAATACTAAATCATACATGTATACAATCAAAATAGATCTGCTAGAGTTAAATATTCTCAATGAGCAATATAATGCAGATCCAGTGCCATCAAATCATGTGATGCAGCTTGAAGCAAAAAAGAAGAGGGAGATAAGCATTTGCAAATATTTCATAAGCTAAAACCTTCGTTGTTCAAAGGAGGTGTAGGATCTCAGGTTGCAGAAGATTTGTTATTGATGATAGAGAAAATTTTTGACAGCATGTAATGTCTGGAGAGCTGAAAAGTGCCATTAGGTGTGTTCCTATTTGTAGGAGAGACTAAGAGATGGTGGGTTGGGCAGCAAAGAGGAAAATTTCAAGGGAAGATAAATGTTGAGTTCACTTGAGACGAGTTCACTACAATATTTAGGATGTGGTTTTTACCTCCATTAGCCCGACGATAGATGCAGAAAGCTTTTATTAAGTTGGAGCAAGAATGCAAAATAGTGATGCAGTACGAGGCCAAGTTTACTGCTCTTACTAGGTATGTTTCTCATTTTTTCCCTGCTGTTGAAGAAAAGTGCTACATATTTCTGCAAGGGTTGAACAAGGAGCTCAAAAATCCACTACTATCTCTAAGGATTCAAGAGTTTTCTGAGTTGGTGGAGCGGGCCAGACTGATAGAGATTGATTTTGTAACACCAGTATCCAAATGTGAGGTGGGCTTCATATATGATGTCAGTAGGAGGAGGAGAAGAGATAAATCTAGTTGAGAGAGAGAGAGAGAGAAGAAAAGCAGGTATAATGATTCATGGGGATCTACATCAATAGCATCTTCTGGCAGCTATAACGAGTGTATTTATTATGACCAACGACATACATGTCAATGCTACTTATTGATGGGCGATATTTCGCTATGGATAGCAGGGACATAAGGTAGTAGGTTGTCTTGAGAGGGGATTTGGAGAAAGAAATAATTCTAGTAAAGCACAATCCATATATACTATAGGACAGAGAAATATAGGGTCAAGAGCATACAATGAGAGATCAATAAACAAGGCAGATGATAAAACTGTTAGTGATAATTAGAGGGAGACTATTGCACGACAATTGATTGTACATACTCCAGTGATGGCACGTGTATATAACTTACAATATCTAGATTACAAACAACAACTTGAAAGTTCTTCTAGTAAGAAATTTATTTTAAATGATTTCATGACATAGCATATCATACATAATTGAATGACATGTGATAGTATGAACTGATGACTAAGATTTTTTTATGAGTTTGGATTTGTGATTTGATTGTACAAAAAAAAAAAAAAAATCACAAACCGTCTTCACCATAGCATTATTATTGTCGTATTTTACTTCCACGATTTTTTTTTTAATTTTTGGGTAGAGGATCAGGAGAGTGAGGATGATCATGATTCGTTCAAGTTCATGTTCTTTTTGTTTTAGCTATTCTTTTATAGTCATGACATGATAGATATGTGATTACTATATATATCATGAGGAATAATATATGATTTTTGAGAATGAATACAAACATATTTATTGATATTTTAAATTATAGAATTTATTTTCATTGTTTATTACTAATAGATGATATTTGATTGTTGATTATTAAAATATAAAAGAATAATTTCTTTCAAATTAAAGTATGGGGCATCACACATTGTGAGAAGGCATCAAGAAGCATAGTGACAACAAGATCCAATGAAGCTTCCTAGTGAGGGCATCAATGTTCAAACAATATGTAAGAGAGCTTACAAGCAAGGATATTGATGGTTTAGGTGATGTGTCAGTGAGACCCATTATAGAGTTAATGGAGTGCTATATAACATACTCATTAATGCTAGTGTTGAATAGATCAATCTTAAAAATCTTAAAATTTTATGTTATGTATCTAAATCATGCAAATATTTATTTCATTTGAAATAAAATAATATTAATGATATTTTTAATGTGATTTAAAAATTATAGCATTACATAAGTAAATTAAATATTTAGTCTTAAAAATATAAATATGTATAAAACTTTTGTGATATTCACAAAAGTCCCCACAAAAAAAATAAAAATAAAGCCAAGCTTTAAGGGATTACTTAGGATCACTTTTATTTGTTAATTTAATTTATATTTTAATATATAAAATAAAACATATTTATTATATTAAAATATATATTTCATTTTTAATTTTATTGAATATAAAATAAATATATTTATGATTTCAACTAGACGGGTCACTGACAGTTAATTGACAGTATGATGATGACTAAAACGTTAGATTTTTTTTATAAGCAATTGGATTTATGTTTAAAAAAATTTAATAAAAAAAAAATACATACTAAACAATAATAATTGTTAAAAAAAAAACAAAAGAAACAAATCCAAGCCCTAATACAACCTAATTCATCTTGCAAATTAATAAACTCACATGTGTCATAAGTTCTCCTTCTAGCTTACCTACAAAATCCACAATAAATATTTTTTTAAAAAAATTGCAATACATACAAAACAAGAATTACATAATTTTCCATTCTATAACCGAAATTCTTGGTGTTTTTGACTTTTTTACAAGCCATCTTCTTCCCCAAAACTAGCCCTAAAAAAAAACCAAAAAAAAAAAAAACACGCACACTCAATTAATGGCTTCAATGATTTTCGAGCTCTTCAAAATTAGATGAGAGCATTTTTCATTCTTAAGAAGCCATGGACGAGCTTTCCCGAAAGCTCGAGATTACCAAACAACTTTTTTCAAGTATTACATCCACCGGCGGCAGCCGTAGCGCCGCTGCTACTGCTCTCCTCCGACCACGAATGGAGGAAGAAGCTGTCCTCAAAGCAGCAGCTTTCACCGCCGAAGAACTCGGAAACTGCTCCGGTCGTCACGGCGGCCGCCACCGGCGAGTCTTGCAACTTCTCCAAGCCCATAAAAAGTACCTCATCCTCCGCCACCACTTCCATGTCTTCCACCAACAATATTCCTTCGTCGTCGTCGTCCTCTTCTTCTTCCTCCTCTTCTTCCTCCCCGCTCTCCTCCCTCTTTAACGGTGTGCTCGGCAAGCACACCGTCCGACTCCCCTCTTCTCCGACGGAAGCCGCCGACGAAAATTTCTGCCGTGTACTGCCGGCGAGCGAGTTCCGGTGAGTTGGAAGCGAGTGGTTGTGATCTCCGGTGTAAGTTATCACAAACATCGCTGGATCTGTACGGCTTCGCTCTACCTGCTTCCGAGCTAAGCATCCCTTTGAGCTGCTACATCTATAATATCCCCTATTCGATTTCCCCCAAAAAGTTAGCTTTCCTCTGTTTTTATTCTCTGAAACAAAGTAAAAGATATAAGATTACCGAGGATAAGGCGAGCCCTTGATGGGCTTCTGACCGTACTTTCTCCACGCCCACATGTCGGCGGCGAGCCCGTCGGCAGGGACTTCGCAGACCACTCGCTTCTGCTGATTCCACCTGAGAATTCTCCGGAGGGATCTAACCAAATGAGCAACCTTTCCACCGAGAAATCTTTAAAAAGGTAGAATGAAACCGAACTTTACCTTTTCTTCGAGCGGTACTTCGTCTGGGAGACCGGCCGCCTCGGCGCCGCCCGCGCCGCTGCTCCGGCGAGAGAAGAAGAGCAGGACAAAGTCGACGGCTTTGGCTTTGGCTGCTGAACCATAGAGAAAAAGGGCTTGCAGAACTCTTCGACCTCATTGTAAAAGCTCGTTGACGGTGCCTCCGCTGGCTTTGCAGTCGGGAGCGGCGGCGGCGGCGGTTGTGAAGCAGCGCGGCAGCTCCGAACCACAGCAAACAGATCCCAGCCGTCATCGTTCTTCTCCATCGCGAACATCAGTCCGTGAGAGCTGAAAATAAAGAAAGATATCGCCTTTTCGCGAGCTCCAACAGGTATTTTAATGGCGGGATTTGGAGATGGGAAAACGCGGCGCTGACCTTAACAGGGGAGGGAGGAGATGCAGGAAAGAGAGGGGTTGAGTTTTATCCGTGCGGGGATAAGATGGACATTTCACGTGTTGGTAGGCAATGCTGCACGGAAACCTCCTCTGGTTTTTCAAAACCGCTTCTGGTTTCTCTTTCCGCTTGACTTTGCTCAATGTCAAAGGATAGAGAAACGTGAGGTAGCGTTGTATTATTATTATTTTTTATATTTTTCGAAAAAGTCGTCTCCGCCCACTTCCACGCGTTGGCTCTTTAGTCCTCGCGGCCTCCGAGAAAAAGATTAGGCAGTTATTATCCGTATTTTGTTCGCACCCAGTATTTCACCCGTGGGTTTTATGTGCGTCGGGGTGGGGTATGAAAAAGAGTACGTATTTGGGTGCCGTTAGGTATGAGGGGGAACAAGCGGACGGCAGTGGCAGCGGCAGCGCTGCAGAGAATGGGAAAGTAGAGGGGCCCACCGGCCCGCGGTCCGCCGGGTGTGGTTCGGCCGGCCGTGAATCACGTGCGAATCACGTGGGTTTTGATGCTCGGTTGTGTACGGCTGTGATGAGACCGGGTGAGCATATCGACGGGCAACGGCTTCTGCATCATTTATAAGTTATTGAAGTATCGAACCAAATTATTTTGAAGTTGAGATTTTCACCTGCATCATTTGTGTGAAAAAAATATCTCATTGAAAAATTGGACACTCATAATTTATATATTTAGACAATCATTCTTCTTATATATTTATTTAAGAAAATAGCCTCAAAAATATTTTTGTTATCAAAATACCCTTAATAAGAGAAAACCCCTTATACTCGTGGTATATATATATAAGGGTGTCAATATCAGGTCACGGCTCGGGATCGAGTCAAACCCGAAACTGACCCGGCACTATTCGGGTCAACCTGAACCCGACCCGTTTTTAAAAACGGGTCAGTTTTCCTGATCCGAACCTGACCTGCTTCGGATCCGGGTCAATCCGACACGACCCAAATGACCCGTTTCCAATAAAAAAAATTCTAGCTTTCGGATAAAAAACGGATCTATCTCCTTTTTTTCGAGTAAAAAACGAGTCTATTTCCTCTTTTTCTGGTCAAAATCGGGTCAATCTCGGGTTGCCGGGTCAAAATTGAGTTTTCGGGTAAAAAACGAGTCAATTTCGGGTCAAAGGGTTAACTCGAACCCGACCCGATTTTTGAAACGGGTCAAAATGTTGAACCCAAACCCGACCCGTTTGGGTTCGGTTTGACTCTAACCCAAAATTTTTGGATCGGATTCGAGTCGGGTTTTCGAATCATGTCACGAAGTCCAATAACATATGTTTTGAAGAGTTTGTTATTCTAAAGAATAAGGCGTTTGGAAACCCATATCCAAGTCTTATATTCTAAAATTAGGAATTGAAACATAGGATAAATTGCCAATTGATCGAAGATAAATACACTGTTATTCTAGATTATAACTCTAAGGGTAATTATTAATCTAATTTAAGGGGATCATATTAAAATCATCCACAAAGTCCCTAGTCAAAAGCCTAAGGTAATTAAGAATTTTAAGGAACCCAAAAAATAGGCTCAATCCACCTTAAGGTGAACCCAATCATTTCATGCTCATAGGTAGGGGTGTCAATTTTCAACCCGACCCTTCAACCCGACCCGAACCCGATCCGAAAAAATCCGCGTTCGGGTTGACCCGACAACCCGACATTCAACCCGGAATCAGCCCACTGCCGTGCGCTCGGTGACCCGCGATCCGCGGACGACTCCTCCAGTCCTCCTGGACACGTGTGGTCCCACCCTCCGCCTGCAGCCCTACACTCGAAGTCTCGCCATCGGTAGCTTTGGAGCGCTCGCGACCCGCGGACCAGCGGAAGACTCCGCCAGCACCCGGCCTTGGCTCTCCCGCGGACGACTCCGCCGACTTCGCCCACAACGCAACACTCGTGCTCTCAGTCGCGGTCCACGGACTCTGTCTGTTCCCGCACGCAGCGCGCTCGCGACTCGGTTTGAGTCTTGATCCTGGTCGGGTCGGGTCAACCCGGCAACCCGCGCGGGTCGGGTCCGGGTTGAAATATATGTTCCGTTTGCAAAAATGAGTCTGGTACGAGTTGACCCGTTTAGAACCGGGTCAACTCGGGTTCGACCCGAACCCGACCCGTTGACCCGAATTGACACCCTACTCATAGGTTTCAAGTTTAAAATTAGTCATTGATAGGGTGCTTAGCAAAGTCGGTCATATTGTCAAAGAAACGTCATCCAAAGGTGCACTCCCAAGAAACAAGCAACCAATGACATATATTCATAAGTTGCAATGATAGTCCTAGCTAGAAAGCCAAATATTGGCCTTATGCCAAGGAAACCTAAACAAAACATATTCATAAAGAGATTTGAGGGCTCATGTCCTAAAACATCAAAACTACTTGGGCCAAAATAAGCTGATTTAGACTTTATTTGGGACAACTTTTTTACTACGCTATAAAGCAACTTTTTAGCCCAAACATTTCTATTTCAAAAAATTTTTGTATAAAAAAAAATACTTTAAAAATAATAAGAAAACTATCCCGAACGAAATGTTAGAGGGGAAAAATATCAGCAGTAAAATTCAACCTATTTTCTCCACAAAAAATTGAATCCAACATAATAAATAGATCAATAGTTTATTCAAATTAAATTTTAATAACACACGTTGACTTCCCACAAAGCTTGCACAAGTCATAACATGCTCCAACTCAATTCAAGCTTCTTGTGCTAATCCCATCGGCAAATTATTGGATCCGGTCACCAAACGCGAAAAATAAGTTAGGACATCCACTAAAAATTTGTCGCGTCACCTGCGCTTTTGACTTGCGCTTTAGTTGCACTTTACCTGCGCTTTACTTGCTCTTTTGACTTGCGTTTTAGTTGCGCTTTGCTTGCGCTTTACTTGCGTTTTACATGCGCTTAATTTAAACTAATATTTTATTAATATCCGCACTTATCTCCGCGTCCAATGACCGGACGCAATAATAAAAAGACCTTTCTGAAATAATTCCAAAGGGCTTGCCCCTAATTAAAAAAAAAAAAAAAAAAACTTTCCAGTACTAAAAGATTCAACTTATTCTGTTAAAAAAAATGTAACCAACCATAGGTATTGCATTTATGTTTGCCAAATTTAGAACATAAAAGCTGGAAAAAAAATTCCTGAAGTCTCTAATGATTTTGTTTCTCTAAACTCTCATGTTTTGGCATTTACATCATCTTTACAAAAACATAAAAAATCATGAGAAGGTTGCAATTTGCTTAAGCTTGTCTTGTCTCTTGATTTTATGCTGTAGCAGCTAATAAGCTGACTTTTCCCTTCAATACAGACTATGTTATTGTCACTTACTAGACTGAGGCCTCGTCTTTTTCAAATAAATTTTTAATATAAAAATTAAAATTATTGTACTAAAAAGTTATTTTAAGAAGCAGCAAGAAAACCGGCCCAAATGAAGTCTTAGGCTTCGTTTGAAATGGCTTTTTTACTGCTTCTTGAAGCTGCTTTATAGTATATAAATTTTAAATTTTATACTAAAAAACTGCTTCAATAAGCAGTAAAAAAGCCGTCCCAAATAAAGCCTTAGTAGGAAGAGATAAGTTTCATTTGGGACAACTTTTTATTTCTTCTTAAAGTAATTTTTTAGTATAAAATTAATTTTTTTTACTAAAAAACTACTTTAAAAAATAGTAAAAAAAAATTATATTTACTGTAATAGCTTATTAATTTGACTGAATTAAGGTTTGATATCAAACTTCACTTTTGAGAGTGATTTGACAACAAATGGCCTGAAGCAGATGGCTTTTACATAAAAAATTAATTCCAAAGAAATATATTAGCATATCTGTTGAGGACCAAATCAAAAGAAAACCAGGTGGCATTCTTAGGAACTTTTATTTGATCCGGTCACCTAATGTAGATCTACGTTCGGACGTCAGTAAAATAGTGTCACGTGTTCTTAATCTTTACCGCGCGGCCCGACAACCCGACCCGGAACGGACCCAGGATTGCTATATTCGCGTATTGCTCGGTATTGCTGGTATTGGTCGATTTTGCTCGGCAATAACGAGAAATATCATTCTGTGAAGATCAATACCTAGCAATACCGAGTAATACCGAGCAATACCGAGTTTTTCTCTGTATTGCTCGGTATTGATCTTCACATATCGGTATTTCTCGTTTTTGACAAGCAATACCTAGCAATACCGAGCAGTATGCGAACATAGAAATTTGGGGTTCCAGTCCGGGTCGGGTCATCGGGCCGTGCAGTAAAAAGTAAGAAGACGTAACGAAATATTATTGGCGTATGAACGTAGAGCTACGTCAGGTCACCTGACCTAATAATTGTTCCATTCTTAGGCTTCGTTTGAGTTAACTTTTTTTGCTACTTTATAAAACTGCTTTTCAATATAAAAATTCCTAATTCAAAAAATTTTATACTAAAAAGTTGTTTTAGAAAACAATAAATAAACTATCCCAAATAAAACCTTAAACAAATAAAGGTAAAAACTCTGAAAAAAAATAATATTATAGAAGTAAGCTTTAAAATAATCCCCCAATCATTTCTATATGATCAATTTAATTCTAAAATATCACATTTCTACAATTTAATTTATCGACTATATAGAATTAATCCAAAATAGTCTCTTCGGACTAAATTGGAATTAATTTTAATTCACAATTATAATATGAGAGATTATTTTAAATCATTTTTGTATAGTTAAGAGATTAAATTGGAGCAGCATAATACTCTGGAACTAAATTAATCACACACACAAATAGCCTGAGAACTATTTTGGAATTTATCTGGAATAATATATAACATCTAAAAATTGAAAAATATTGTATCAAATTTTACTGATAATTGTGTAGATAAATATTTAATTTTGATTTGAAATGCTACATAAAATAAATACATTTATAATAATTTGAAGGACATTTATATGAAATGTGGTGACTCATTCCAAAGTAAGGCAGATAACTTTTTTTCTGGAATATTTAGATATTAAGATATTTATGCCATAATTTATTTAATTTTCACCTAAAATTTCGACCGATTTTGCCTAGGGGTGTCAATTTTTGACACGACCCGAACCCGACCCGGAAAAATCCGGGTTAGAGTCAACCCGGACCTGAAACGGATCGGGTTCGTGTTCAACAAATCAACCCGTTTTAAAAATCGGATCGGGTTTGGATTGACCCAGCAACCCGAAATTGACACGAAAACTCCTATTTGACTCGGAAACCCAAAATTGACCTGTTTTTTACCCGAAAATCGAAGATTGACCCTATTTTTGACCC